ACTTTGTTTATTTGAAATCAGATGAAAACAAACTGTCACGGACCCTGCCGTGTTATCTATGATTACTACGCTTTTCATTCATAATTTCAGCGGGAGGGAGGGGGAGTGGTGCTGAGGAACAGCAGGCTGACAGGTGTCTGTGTTGACATTCCCCTTATTGTGGAATAAGGGGAATGCAGAGACAGGCTACAAGTGTTTTAGGTTCAAGTTAGACAACTAATGTCTGGGTTAGTGTTCATGACTTCATGTGTATGTCATCTAATGGTTAATCTCAATACACACACATTTTCCGTGCTTTCCAATAGCTTAAAATAGTTGTATTCCACTGTTTAATAACCTGTTCAATACAAACATGCCACTTGTAAAAACGAAATAAAAAATGTGTTTAGTGAGCTTATTAGAGGATGTTCCCATTTTTTGGGGATGTTCCCTTTGATTGTAAAATGTCAATGAAGATGTCAGACTTAGTATATTTGTTAATAATTACATACAACACATGGACTTTTTGTGTGTGTGTGTTCCAAGTGAATCTGCGGCCCCCTGGTGGCCAGTACATCAATGATGTGGCCCCCACCACCATCAAAGTTGCCCATCCCTGCCCCAGAGCAAGCAGGTCTCGCTCATCTCAAATGAGCCTAGACACTTTGGAGTTAGGGGTGAGGGGTTATACTGAGAAGCGGCTGCTTCTTCTCAGTCAGCATCTGTTCCAGCTGAATCAGATGACTTAAGCCAACAAGGGCACGAGGCAGGCACAGAAGAAGATGAAATGGATATGTCAGAACATTTCAGTGATCTTTTTCTAAGAAACGTCTGTTTATTCTACCTGAAATGCAGGGACAGTTTTTACTACCTGCTTCAACCTACACAACATTGTTGAGGAGATGCAAAACATACATTAGTTGGGTCAGACATATATGTTGAGTAAACGTTTTTTTTAACTTTTAAAGATGATTATTTTGGGGCATTTCTGTTTTATCGGACTGAGGCAGTAGAGATCGACAAGAAACAGTGGCGAAAGAGGAGAGGATTTGCAGCAAAGGGCCCTGCCGGAATCAAATCTTGGCTGCTGTGTGTGGAACGTGTTCTACGAGGTACAGCACTTTGGCAACCAGTTAATTGTGTTTTTGAGTGTGAATTTAGCCTATTTATTTTAATTTGCAACAGTAAATTGAAAAGAGTAAAAAAGTTGAAGCTTGATATGATGTTGTCTTTTAGCTAATGGGATATATTTCCTCCTGTCTTGTCTTATTTCCTTAATCTTTCTTTCAGGTATTATATCTGCCAATGGTTGTACGTGACATGGACCTCCTCCACCTCTTTGCTGTCCTAATAGTCAACCCTTCTATCAGATCCCTGACAGAGGTAAATAGTGGTAAGTTGTTATACAGTTCAGTGTACGTTAATTTAACAACATACAGCTTGAGCTTTATCTCTGTTTTAATAAATCCTTTATTGCTAGTGATTTTAATAAACTGGGATTTGTTACATTCAAATGTTATATTTGTAGAAATCCTACATGCTATCAGCAATCAATGAATCAAATGCGCCAACACAAAAAGGCAGAAATCTATTGGAACTGCTTCTTTATATTTCTTCATCAAGAGACATTGAGCCTAACTGTTGTAATCAGCCTCTCAGAATGTCAGCAATTTATCCCTCAATCTATTAGATATACTAAAGCATATTTATAAGTTGGACTGTTTACAACATTTCACCATTTCCTTCTCTCTTAACTTCTCTAATGTTTAGTTTTTAATTTCTTATTGTTGTTATTGTAATGTTCTTTATTTTTATTGTGAGAAGCACTTTGTAATTGTATAAGTACTATATAAATAGTTATACTAACAGTATTGTGATTATCATCATTACTATTATTTTCTAAGATTTTCTTTGTTGTCTTTTTTATGGCTGCAGGAAGGATCATGCCAGCCCACATCAAACAGTCACATTAAAACAGTTACTAAATCAGCCTAATATCACCTAAAGAACATATCTAGGATTAAAAGACTAATGTCACAGCAGGATTTGGAAAAACTTTTCCATGCTTTTATCTTCAGTAGACTAGACTGCTGTAATGGTGTCTTCACAGATCTCACAAAAAAATATATTAGAAAGCTGCAGCTAATTCAGAACACTGCTGCTCGAGTCCTCACTAACACTAAGAAAGTGGATCACATCACTCCTGTTCTGAAGTCTTTACACTGGCTATCTGTGTGTCAAATAATTTATTTCAAAAATACTGCTGCTGGTTTATAAAGCATTGAATGGTTTAGGCCAGGCATCCTCAAAGTCCGGACTCCGGTCCGGATCCAGACCGAACCACAACTGTCTCTGGACTCTGAGCAAATTATACTTTTCATATGTATTATCTGTGTTATCTGCGAGACATCGCCACAACGCAACGAGTCAAAATGATCCGCTATGTCCATAGACTGCAAACAGCACTCTGCATGTCCTGTTCCACTGTCTGTGTGTGTCTGTCAACGCATTGGTCCAATCACATTCAGCATCCCGTCAGCGTTTTTCCCCCCCAAACAATCTGTGAATGCAGGTGCGAAAAATGTGTGTCTCGTCTCTTTCAACCTGTCTGAGTCAGAGCGAGAGTTTAAAAAAAACAAAATTCAGAGCGAGAGTTAACAGCTCATCTAGTTCCATCTGTACTGTAGCTAGTAGCCTAGTTTCACCTACCGGGGTGGCAACTGACACCCTCAAAATAGGCATTGCCACCCCAGCTGCCACCCCAGTTGGCAGCTTTGTTTTGAAAGAAAAGTTGTGGCTCATCGGACATTTATGAGAGAAAGTCTCTAATGTCCGAGTGCAAGTGAATGCAGCATAAGATGCACGTCATGTAACCCCTCCCCCAGTCCTGGTGCGAGCGTGGACATATGATTGGCGGCGATTTCATTTGGGGAGTGGAGACGTCGCAAAACGAGAAGCATTCGGACCCAAGCACTGAAGGAATGAAGTATTTGCGGTCGACACTGACAGAGAAGAGACTGTCAGTTTGGCTGTACTCAGCATTGAATCAAAACGCACTAAAGCTGTTGATCTTAATACGTTTGTGAGGCGTTTTGCTGAACAAAATGGTAATAGCCGCATTCAGCTGTAATAGACATGTCAACTTGATGCTCTGCTCACGGATGAGCATACAAAACTATTAAGATGATGACCTTACGTGTGTAAATATATTGTTTTCTTTGAGGGGGTCTGCCCCCAAAAAACAGTTTGAAGTCCTGAGAAAGTCAAATAAGACGGTGTGTAAAACTACACTGCCCAGACAAAAAAAAGTAACCACTTTGATTGAACTAGGCCAGTAGGTAAGGACTTTCCACTGGATAATAACTGAAGTATAAAATAATGCATGACTGAAGTGATGGAGTCCATGTTGAAGGCAAACAAAAAGAGGAAATAACAGGTAAAATCAAGCAAATCCCCCTCTCAGATTCCACAGCAACCAGAAGAACATAAATACTGGCTGGTGATTTGATTAATCAGCTTTTTGATGGAATAAAAAATGCACAGTGCATTTTCTTAGCTTTGGGTGAGTCCACTGACACCACTGACAATGCTCAGTTGCTGGTGTTTGTGAGTTTTTATTATGAGGCAAAGGGGGAGTTTGTTGAAGATGTGTTGGGCCTGACGAACCTCAGTGGACACAAAAGGGGGAAGACATTTATAAAGCAATAATGGGAATGCTGAATGAAAGAGGGTGCAGCTGCCTTTATTCATAACTGTGCAGCTCTTACACTGCGACTCTGAGGGATCAAGCACAGACACAATAACAATGAAAACTGCTGCATACAGATTATTTTTGTTTTTGCAACCTCGTGTTAAGAATCTTGTTGCAATTGTTTAAAAGTTTGGATGACCGTAATAAACGGACCTTTGTCTTATTGAAACATTTATTTTGGACCTTTAAGATTTGTATTTGAGTACCCCTGGTTTAGGCCCAACATGCATTTCTGACCTGCTACATTATGAACCATCCAGATCTCTCAGGTCTTCAGGGACTGGTCTAAGGACACCCTCTGTCTAAGGACAGAGGGTGTCGTTTTTCTCATACTGATATTCTGAACAATCTGTGTTGTTGTATTTGCTGTAAAGTGTCTCTACTGTAGGCTAATTATATGTACAGCACTTTGGCTCGACCAAAAATCGTTTATAAATGTGCTATATAAATAAAACTTGATTTGATTTGGTCAGCTTTCTGTCCCCAGAGTCAGAACTAAACATGGAGAAGCAGCGTTCAGTTATTATGCTCCAAATATCTGGAACAAACTCCCAGAAATCTGCAGGTCCGCTGAAACTCTTACTACTTTTAAATCCAGGCTGAAGACTTTTCTTTTTGCCGCTACTTTCAATTGAACTATTCATATCGATGTAGTATTGTTAGATGTGCCAAGAGCAAGGACTGTCTTAGGTAAGACAGCTTTTATATGTGCAGCGCCACTTGCTTGGAACAGTCTACAGCTCAAATTGAAACTGAGCAATTTTATTCCTCTGAATGTTTTTAAAGCAAGTCTAAGAGAAATGCTCTTTGAAACTATGGGTATTTGTAAATGTTGATAAGTATGTAAATGTAGCTTGTATGATATCCTCTATTGTTTTATGTTGTTTCATGTGGAACATAATTGCTGCAGGTCTCCCTTGAAAAAGAGATCTATGATCTCAAGGGACAATTCTGGATAAATAAAGGTTTGAAATGAAAATATCTTAAACTGCACTGTAACTTTTATTCATGTATTTTTTCTTTTAATGTTTATTTTATTATCTTTGCTTTGTAATGACTGTTTTTAAATGCCATTTTCTTAATGTCTTTCATTTTTGTAAAGCCATTTGAATTGCCTTGTGTTGAAAAGTGCTATATAAATAAACTTGCCTTGCCTTACATTAAACCTGCCTGATTGATTTACACACCAACAATTACAAAAAGAAAAAGAGAGACAAATGAATTTCTTAAAATAGTTTGTATTCTGGTCATTGTTAGTTTCTGACAGAAATAATTTTGCAAACAGGAAATCTAACAGAATACAGTGTGCATGATTATATAAATAAATAGTGTGTATAAATAAGAACATTAACAGTGCATTGCTATGACATCCAAAGATTATGATTATAACACAGTATGCATTTGTTCTGAGTTGGAAAGTGTAGCCCACAAGGAGCTGCATTTGTTACTTCCAAAACTAAAACATATAGCATTTAAATAACCTTCACTACGAAAAATAATGCCAAAGGAAAGTGCTTACTGGAGCAAGATGAATTAGTATTAGTGCAATTGTTGCCTTACATCCCAATGTTATATTGTTATGCCTATTATTATTGTGCTATTTGAATGGAGGATTAACATTAATTTCATTGCACGTGTTACCCAAATCTGTAAATCACGAAAGACACCGGAGTCCTTTCTCAAATGAGTGGCACTACGACCATTGGCTGGACAGTCGCCATGACAACAGTACAAGGAAGGATGCAGTGATCGGACTGATGTAATGGCTCACTCCACTTGAATCTGAAAGGAAAAGAACGAAACAAACTTTAGTTAAACAAGTGTGCATCTTTTGACTGCACTGCTGATTAAGTAGCTCAGTTTAACTTACGAATGCCATTCAGGTCGAGCAAGCTGCCTTCAATGTCGAAGCCGATGACGCTTGCAGCTGCGCTCATTAAGACCTGCGCTATCTGATTGTTATTAGGAACAGATGTGCTTGAAAAGCTGAGGTCCATGTTGTTGACGATCGATCCATTACTGCAGAAGAAAACATTTGTTAATGTTTGAAATATCAGATTTAGGCCACTATTCATAAACTGTCACTCGATATGTCATAAAACAAATTACCTGAATGAATTCACTTCCAAGAACTTGAATGAAGGGAATTCCCTTTGAAAGACAGGTGTAAGCTGCAGACAGGAAAATACAAAGGTATACAACTTTTCACTTTACTCTCGACAATGAACTGTGAACATATGAGAACATTTATTTGTCATCATATACATCTCTGTCAACAATTCATTCTAGAAATGTAAGTATGAAAATATATTATATATTGACTGTTTTGTACGGAGCCCTGGAGGGTTCATAGAGAGAAAAATAAATAAAACGTGACCACGTTTTACTTTCTCGTGCGCACGCTTTAGTAACTCGTGCGCACGAGTTACTAAAGCGTGCGCACGAGTTACTAAAGCGTGCGCACGAGTTAATAAAGCATGGCCTCGTTTTGTGTGTGTGTGTGTGTGGGGGGGGGGGCATTTGTTTATGATAGTATTGTTCGTTCCGGTGCACTCCGGCAGGACTATAGCACAACGAGATTAAGATTAAACACATTTCTTTCACTTGGGAATACACTTAACTATGGGGAACCAGATTTGTTTAAAGTACTGTTCGTGGTCATTTGAAAACAAATGCCGGTGGTGTCGGATACACACGAACACGCACACAGAGCGGAGCTGAGCACACACACACACATCATGCGCCCCGGTGACAGGACATCTCCTTCATAAAACGAGGGAGAATACTCTGGTAGTTCGATGTGTGAATAGGTGTGTGTGGTTAAACGTAGCAGCCTCGATCTCTATTCAGCGGTTCTAATGAAGGGAAACGCAGTGAAGTAAACAGTAAAAGGCACAGCTCTTTGCAGCTGGTGCTGCTCTTCTCAGATTCTGCTGAGTTACACGTTACTGCCTCCAGTGCCCTGTACGACGAAGCCAGTTCAACAGACCCTGGACCTGGACATGTTCGATTTACCTGGCTTAACTAACCCTAACAAACGCGATGTCGATAAGCGGTCCTACGAAGCTGGTTATCAACTCAGTAAATCAACCAGGGTTTCTCTGTCCGGCTGAGAGCGCGCTCACGTGAAAGGGACGGGGTTAGCAACATTTGACCAATCACAAACATGGAGACGCGTGCTCACAGCGCAGCGTCATACTTCATGAATGAATAGTGTAAATAGCAAATCCTGCTTCGTAGTACAGGCCACTGGTGCCGCAGAGATTTCATAAAGTGAAGGAGGTTTTCCTTCTATAAAACAGCTGTGGGCAGCAGATACTGTGAGTCACAGACAGGAATCCCTCAATTTAAATAAAACGAGGCCACGCTTTAATAACTCGTGCGCACGCTTTAGTCACTCGTGCGCACGAGAAAGTAACTCGTGCGCACGAGAAAGTTAAACGTGGCCACGTTTTATTTATTTTTCTCTCTATGAACCCTCCAGGGCTCCGTAGTTTTGTGAGTTTTTATTTATTGTATTCTTTGAGTGTGACAGTGTGTACTTGAGCTGTCCTTATTCAATATTCAGAGATCATTCTTAGAGTGAGACGTACCTGTTCTTTAATCTTCGCTGCCCGATTTATATAAGCTGTAGATGATGGATTCAGCAAGTCACTTGTAAAGTCGGTGAGAAGGGACCTGAATATCACCCTTTTTATAACGAGTGCTTCAGTTATGGGTGCAGCAGTGTTGGGTGCTTCAGGTCTAGGCGTGGGAGCTGTAATTGGATCTGTCACTGGACTGTCTGTAAAACAAAAATATTAACAATATGTGAATACATTTTAGTGCAAACACTCAAAAGATATATTTATCCTTGTATGATGTAAAATATACTTTGGTTGCAGTTTCACAGACCAATAGGAACCATAATAAAAGGCTTTCAAAAAGTAGCCTTTGCAAACATTCTATTATCTTATCTAGTGAATGATGAGTAACGATTTATCAGTAAATAAGAGATTATTCAATTAAAAAGCTTTCTTACTGAATATAAAATAGTTTGGAGAAGAGCTCGTCCTGCATGGATTGGACTGTACAACACTGAATGTTGTTGAGGTTTTCAGTATGAGTTCAGTTGCTGACTTATTTATGAACTGAGCTTGAGCAGCAGATTATATTCCAAATGTATTACAAAATGATGATGGTAAAATAATTTGTTATGTTTACTTACCCAACACTTTGACTGAAGCAGGATTAATGCTCAGGTTAGGACTATTGGTGGAATTACTCAGAGCTTCTACTAAGGTTTGAGCAACAACATCATTCTGTGGGAGATCTGCGATGGCAGTAGTCTCATGGAACACAATCCCCACGGTTGCTTCAGACCCTTGAGATGTATTTAAGGCACTGTAAAAAAGAAGGGAAGGGGACAAGTATTATATTATGACTTGAGATTATTCTGTTGACTTGTTTAATGTGTTCTTATGACACGATTAGGGTTAGAGATACACATTTTAAGACTGAAATCTTGCATTTAGAATTCAATCAGAGAAGCACTCGAGGAAAATCTTCTTACCTGAGGCTTTTCAAACGGCAGTCAGAAAACGTAGTTGGGAATTTGAGGCTGTATTTCTCGTTACACTGCAAAAGAAAGCAACATTCAAAGACCTTGATTATTGTTTAAGAACATTCTTTCTAAACAGATATGACAGTTGCAAAAACATTCTGTAAAATTATTTTTGTCATACCGCTATATCAATGGCAAATGCATATTTTGAAAATGCTCTTACCGCATTTTGTATTGTTCCTTTAAGTGCTTTGTATTCATCGCTGTTGGAGTTACTGAGGGCAGGTGAATAAGTCGGTCCTATCAGTTCTGCTGAGAGAATATAAGTAGGTTCTGATCCCACAGTGTTTGTTTTAACAGGTGTAGTTTGTGTGACAGTGTTAGGGTCTGCTGTCGTAGATGCTGCAGTTGAAAGTGCAGCTCTTGTTGTTGCTGATGTCATGGAAGTGCCAGTTGTAGGTGCTGCACTCGTCAGAGTAGCAGGGTTTTTTGCAACGCTCGAAGGGGCTGCTGATGTGGGTGCATCAGTGGTTGCAAGGGGGGTAGATGCTGCAGTTGTGGATGCAGCTATTCTAGGTGCAGCTGTTGTAGGTGCAGCTGTTGTAGGAGCCATAGTGGTAGGAGCTGCAGTTGTGGGTGCAGCTGTTGTAGGTGCAGTTGTGGGTGCAGCTGTTGTGGGTGCAGCTGTTGTAGGTTTGGCTGTTGTTTGAGCGTCGGTTGTAGGTGAGGCAGTTGTAGGTGCTGCTGTTGTAGGTGCTGCAGTTGTAGCAGCAACAGTGGTAGGTTCTGCTGTAGTAGGAGCCTCGGTTGTTGGTGCAAGTGTTGTAGGTGCTGCAGTTGTAGGAGCAAAAGTGGTAGGGGCTGCTGTTGTGGTTGATGCTGTTGTAGGTGCAGCTGTTGTAGGGGCTCCAGTCATAGGTGCTAATGTTGTAGAAGCCATAGTGGTAGGAGCTACAGTTGTGGGTGCAGCTGTTGTAGGGGCTCCAGTCGTAGGTGCAAATGTTGTAGGAGCCATAGTGGTAGGAGCTGCAGTTGTCGGTGCAGCAGTTGTAGGTTTGGCTGTCGTTTGAGTACCGGTGGTAGGTGAAGCAGTTGTAGGTGCTGCTGTTGTAGCAGCAACAGTGGTAGGTTCTGCTGTAGTAGGAGCCTCGGTTGTTGGTGCAAGTGTTGTTGGTGCTGCAGTTGTAGGTGCAGCTGTTGTAGGGGCTCCAGTCGTAGGTGCAAATGTTGTAGGAGCCATAGTGGTAGGAGCTGCAGTTGTCGGTGCAGCAGTTGTATGTTTGGCTGTCGTTTGAGCACCGGTGGTAGGTGAGGCAGTTGTAGGTGCTGCTGTTGTAGCAGCAACAGTGGTAGGTTCTGCTGTAGTAGGATCCTCGGTTGTTGGTGCAAGTGTTGTTGGTGCTGCAGTTGTAGGTGCAGCTGTTGTAGGGGCACCAGTCGTAGGTGCTAATGTTGTAGGAGCCATAGTGGTAGGAGCTGCAGTTGTGGGTGCAGCTGTTGTAGGTTTGGCTGTTGTTTGAGCGTCGGTTGTGGGTGAGGCAGTTGTAGGAGCAAAAGTGGTAGGGGCTGCTGTTGTGGTGGATGCTGTTGTAGGTGCAGCTGTTGTAGAAGCCATAGTGGTAGGAGCAGCAGTTGTCGGTGCAGCTGTTGTAGGTTTGGCTGTCGTTTGAGCGTCAGTTGTAGGTGCTGCAGTTGTAGGAGCAAAAGTGGTAGGGGCAGCTGTTGTAGTTGATGCTGTTGTAGGTGCAGCTGTTGTAGGGGCTCCAGTCATAGGTGTTAATGTTGTAGAAGCCATAGTGGTAGGAGCTACAGTTGTGGGTGCAGCTGTTGTAGGGGCTCCAGTCGTAGGTGCTAATGTTGTAGAAGCCATAGTGGTAGGAGCTGCAGTTGTGGGTGCAGCTGTTGAAGGTTTGGCTGTTGTTTGAGCGTCGGTTGTAGATGAGGCAGTTGTAGGTGCTGCAGTTGTAGCAGCAACAGTGGTAGGTTCTGCTGTAGTAGGAGCCTCGGTTGTAGGTGCAGCTGTTGTAGGGGCTCCAGTCGTAGGTGCTAATGTTGTAGAAGCCATAGTGGTAGGAGCTGCAGTTGTGGGTGCAGCTGTTGAAGGTTTGGCTGTTGTTTGAGCGTCGGTTGTAGGTGAGGCAGTTGTAGGTGCTGCAGTTGTAGGAGCAAAAGTGGTAGGGGCTGCTGTTGTGGTTGATGCTGTTGTAGGTGCAGCTGTTGTAGGGGCTCCAGTCGTAGGTGCTAATGTTGTAGAAGCCATAGTGGTAGGAGCTGCTGTTGTAGGTGCAGCTGTTGTAGGGGCTCCAGTCGTAGGTGCTAATGTTGTAGAAGCCATAGTGGTAGGAGCTGCTGTTGTAGGTGCAGCTGTTGTAGGGGCTCCAGTCATAGGTGCTAATGTTGTAGGAGCCATAGTGGTAGGAGCTGCAGTTGTCGGTGCAGCAGTTGTAGGTTTGGCTGTCGTTTGAGCACCGGTGGTAGGTGAGGCAGTTGTAGGTGCTGCTGTTGTAGCAGCAACAGTGGTAGGTTCTGCTTTAGTAGGAGCCTCGGTTGTAGGTGCAGCTGTTGTAGGGGCTCCAGTCGTAGGTGCTAATGTTGTAGAAGCCATAGTGGTAGGAGCTGCAGTTGTGGGTGCAGCTGTTGAAGGTTTGGCTGTTGTTTGAGCGTCGGTTGTAGGTGAGGCAGTTGTAGGTGCTGCAGTTGTAGGAGCAAAAGTGGTAGGGGCTGCTGTTGTGGTTGATGCTGTTGTAGGTGCAGCTGTTGTAGGGGCTCCAGTCGTAGGTGCTAATGTTGTAGAAGCCATAGTGGTAGGAGCTGCTGTTGTAGGTGCAGCTGTTGTAGGGGCTCCAGTCGTAGGTGCTAATGTTGTAGAAGCCATAGTGGTAGGAGCTGCTGTTGTAGGTGCAGCTGTTGTAGGGGCTCCAGTCGTAGGTGCTAATGTTGTAGAAGCCATAGTGGTAGGAGCTGCTGTTGTAGGTGCAGCTGTTGTAGGGGCTCCAGTCGTAGGTGCTAATGTTGTAGAAGCCATAGTGGTAGGAGCTGCTGTTGTAGGTGCAGCTGTTGTAGGGGCTCCAGTCATAGGTGCTAATGTTGTAGGAGCCATAGTGGTAGGAGCTGCAGTTGTCGGTGCAGCAGTTGTAGGTTTGGCTGTCGTTTGAGCACCGATGGTAGGTGAGGCAGTTGTAGGTGCTGCTGTTGTAGCAGCAACAGTGGTAGGTTCTGCTTTAGTAGGAGCCTCGGTTGTTGGTGCAAGTGTTGTTGGTGCTGCAGTTGTAGGTGCAGCTGTTGTAGGGGCTCCAGTCGTAGGTGCTAATGTTGTAGAAGCCATAGTGGTAGGAGCAGCAGTTGTCGGTGCAGCTGTTGTAGGGGCTCCAGTCGTAGGTGCTAATGTTGTAGGAGCCATAGTGGTAGGAGCTGCAGTTGTGGGTGCAGCTGTTGTAGGTTTGGCTGTTGTTTGAGCGTCGGTTGTAGGTGAGGCAGTTGTAGGTGCTGCTGTTGTAGGTGCTGCTGTTGTAGCAGCAACAGTGGTAGGTTCTGCTGTAGTAGGAGCCTCGGTTGTTGGTGCAACTGTTGTAGGTGCTGCAGTTTTAGGAGCAGCTGTTGTAAGGGCTCCAGTCGTAGGTGCTAATGTTGTAGAAGCCATAGTGGTAGGAGCAGCCGTTGTGGGTGCAGCTGTTGTAGGGGCTCCAGTCGTAGGTGCTAATGTTGTAGAAGCCATAGTGGTAGGAGCAGCAGTTGTCGGTGCAGCTGTTGTAGGGGCTCCAGTCGTAGGTGCTAATGTTGTAGGAGCTGCAGTTGTTGGTGCAGCTGTTGTAGGTTTGGCCGTCGTTTGAGCACCGGTGGTAGGTGAGGCCGTTGTAGGTGCTCCCATTTTCTTAATGTCTTTCGTTATTTTTGGTTTTTTGGTTTTTTTTGTTCTTCGATGCACTTTGAATTGCCTCGGTTGTTGGTGCAACTGTTGTAGGTTTGGCTGTTGTTTGTGCGTCGGTTGTAGGTGAGGCAGTTGTAGGTGCTGCAGTTGCAGTTGTAGCAGCAACAGTGGTAGGTTCTGCTGTAGTAGGAGCCTCGGTTGTTGGTGCAAGTGTTGTTGGTGCTGCAGTTGTAGGAGCAAAAGTGGCAGGGGCTGCTGTTGTGGTTGATGCTGTTGTAGGTGCAGCTGTTGTAGGGGCTCCAGTCGT